ACCGATGCCCAACTTATTTTTATTTTTATAGCTTTTTTTGGGTCAGTCGTGGGGCCTGAACTCTGGGCCTGGGCACTGTCCCTCAGCTCTTCAGCTCAAGGCAAGTGCTCTACCACTGAGCCACCTTCCCAGCCCAGAAGTTCTTATTTAATGAATTCACTTATTTTGCGCAGGTTCGCACAACAAGGATCAACCCATCTTTCCCGATAACAGAAGTATAGAAACAGTTAAGACCAGGCACTGCTGGGCACTGGGCATAGGAGACACAGGAAGGGAGGATCACAGGTTCATGGCCAGCTCAGGCTACATAATAAGATCTTGTCTCCTAAATCCAAAAGAAGACCCAGCAATGCTTGGGGAGTGTGCAGAGGCCAAAAACCAAACAAACAGACTTCATGCTGCACTGAGTGTCACTGCCAGGTCTAAAAGTTGTTGTGTTGGGACAGACATTGCCATGCTATGGGACTGAGGGTCCCAGGAAATCCTTCCCAGAAGGCATGAATGAGGAGCTTGAACAGGAATGGCGTTGCTGTGTGGATAGAAAGTCCTCCCCACCGGAATCTGCATGGCCCACGGGAGGGGTGGGGCGTGGCCAGTATGTCTGGCTGCAGACAGCCCGTAGAACTGAGAGGTAGGAAAGCCGGGAAGGGCCGGGAGAGGCAGGTGAGCAGGGGCCGCGCCCAGGCTTTCGGTCTGCACATGGCCATGTTCTGTTGGAATAACGGTCGCCTTTGGTTCTTCAGTTGGGTGGAATCAAGGCAGTGGTTTGGAGTCTGACCTGACCAGAACTGACCGCTGGGCCACGGTGGAGCACACATGCAGCCCTCCTGCCCAGGCAGAGGCTCGGGAGGCTTCCTGGGGAAGTGGCATATGAACCAGCCGTGAAGAAAGGATGTAGGGGAGATGGGAGCAGGAAAATGGCATGCCAGCTGGAGGAAAAGGCGATACAATGCCACAGAAGTATCAGGGTCCTTGCTGCGCTCTGGGAATTAGTGAAAAGTGACAGAACTTCATAGCAGTCATGCTGTGTGTGTGCTTGCAGGTGTGTGGTGTGTCAGAGAAACGATCAGAGCCGCCGCCGCCGCCGGCGGCAGGGTGGAATCGTAAATACCCAAACTCAGAGGCTCTAGAGCGCCCCAACGGATGGACAGATGGGGCTCTCAGGGTGGGAGTCACATGACTCGATCAATACGCCCTTCTCCAAAATCATGAATGTGGGGAAATTTTGACAATTAAGAAAAAACAGATGAAGTCCAAATAGTTTTGCAAGTGATAATTACGAATACTGGGTGAGGGTCCTGTGCGCTGTCACTTACGAAGAGCACGTAGGCTGGGGTTTTCTGTATGATCCGGGATGAAAATGTCACCCAGGCCGAGATGGAGTCAGCCTGGTGACCAAGGGGAAGCCTGGTCCCACCAGCCCAAATTACTGGGTTCTACCCCCCCCCCCAATGGCGAGGGTCTGTGACCCGGGACATAGCCAGCCCATCAATACACACCACTGCATTCCACTCTTCCTTGACTCAAGAATGGAAATATTTGAGTCAGAAATCTTAGTCTCTTGTCTTGACCAAGTAGGTTGATTTTTTAAAAAACATATTTGTTCTGAATTGTGGGGATTAAAATACAAACGCAGCTGCCAGGGAAGCTACGCCTGGTCGGGCTCCCAGATTCTCATACGTAACTGTCCACGTGTGGGCTCTGGACAGAGACCACGGCGTTGGCTGCCATCACCCCTGGGGTTAGGTAAGGAGCGGCTAAGTTTGACCCCCCCCAACAGCCATGCTGGGGAACTTGGAATGGCTTAGGCTTTGTGGTTCTTCCCCAGCACGATTCGATTCACGGCTGCTCACAGGGGTGTGGAGCGTATTCCTCTCCACCTAGAGATCCAAGGGGGGGCAGGATTTGAAAGGAGGTCTATATGTAAAACGAAACCCCAGTGATGAACGTACAGATCCCAGGTAGGAGATTCAGACAGCCCTGGATCACTGCAGTGCACAAACATGCATGCTGTAATGGCTGTGTGTCTGCGTGGCCCTGTAAGTCACTTTCCCTCCGTGTGTCTAATTCCTCCGTTATGAAGTGCGGGTGGTTATCTAACTTTAGTGTTAAGGAGTTGTCTGATCCTGACCTGGGATTTGGGGCCTAAGTGTAAAATGGCCACTGCAGAGTCTGTACGTCTAAAGTTTCTGGGCGGTACCAGGCCTTCCACGAGGCACCAGCCAGCCTGAATGGTGCAGATCTATAGACAGCAGTGCCCATGGTCTGTGGGCTGCCAGCCAGCCAGGGGCTCAGCGTCTGCCTTCCCTCCAGCCTTTTGCTAAGACCCTTCAGACTCCTTCCCTACACACTCACACACACCCAGCCTCCCTCAGAAACACCATCGTACACACTCACACACACCCAGCCTCCCTCATCCTACACACTCACACACACCCAGCCTCCCTCATCCTACACACTCACACACACCCAGCCTCCCTCAGAAACACCATCATACACACTCATGTACACTCAGCCTCCCTCATCCTACACACACACCCAGCCTCCCTCAGGAGCACCATCACACACACTCACACACACCCAGCCTCCCTCAGGAGCACCATCACACACACTCACGCACACCCAGCCTCCCTCAGGAACACCATCACACACTCACACACACACACACACCCAGCCTCCCTCAGGAACACCATCACACACTCACACACACACACACACCCAGCCTCCCTCAGGAATACCATCGTACACGCTCACGCACACCCCAGCCACCCTGCCGCTCTTTGGACTTCACGGCCCTTTCTGAAAACTTATAATCAGAATTACTTCCATGTGTAGCAACTGACCCCAGAAAAGGGGGCTGCCAGCTGCTGGAACTTCTCCGTGCATCTGCCGATTCATTATCAGTGTCAGGCAGTCTGCTGTGCAGATGATGATAAATGTGTGGCGTTGGGCTAAAGGAATCATGATCTCTCAAGATGCACCCCAGGCGGACAGCCTGCTCTGCCAGTGGAGCCCCCCCTCCCGGAGTCCCTCCCCCGGCACCGCCAACCAGAGGAGCAAGCATGTCTGCTGAAGGCGAGCTCGAGACCGCAAGGCCATGTGACCTGAATATTAAGTGATAGGTTTCCTTTCTTTCTTTTCCTTTCTTCCATTCTTAAGTTTGTTCACTCATGCTCGTACTGGAGCTTGGACTCAAAGCCTGGGCGCTGTCCCTTAGCTTTGCCACTCAAGGCTGGTGCTCTACCACTTGAGCCACAGCTCCACTTTTGGCTTCTTTTTGCTGGTTCATGGGAGATAAGAGTCTCCTGGACTTTCCTGCCCGGGATGGCTTCCAACCTTAATCCTCAGGTCTCAGCCCCCTGAGTTTCTGGGATTACAGACATGAGCCAGGGGTACCTGGCATTCTTCTTCATTATTGGCAGAGAGGCGGGGCCACTGTGGGTAGCCACTGTGGAAGCAAGAAGTCGGTGAAGCACACACAGAGCTGTCTGCAAAGAACTTTTAAGTCCGGGTCTAGTGATTACACAGAGTGGTTTCATCTTGTGATAGCTGAATTCGTGCCTATCGTAGGCTTCGATCTCATTCACTCCGTCTATTGCATCTCAAAGAACTTTGAAGCTGGTGTCCTAGTTGAACTGAGATGCATGAAGACAAAGATGCATCCGTGGATACTTCCCTGTAACTGTTTCCCTGGGCCCAGCCGCCAGACCCACCCGTGACTTCAGGCAAGACTCGGCCCCTCTTGGAGGTTCCCCTTCCTCCCTTAGGAAAGCCAGCAGGTTGGACTCTCAACTGAGGCTGGCAGGATGGAATGCCTTGTCGTGGTGGCGTGAGTGCCAGTGCTGAGTCTGAACCTGTGTCTAGATGGTTGCAGAGTCTGACGTGCTGCCACCTCTTTGCAGGGTTGCCATGCAAACGCTCTTCAAGGACATGGTAATTGCTTGATTGATGGGCAGTGCAGACACTTGTCCCCTGCCTGAGCCCAGCCCCCTGGCCAGGAGTGTCCCTCTGAGTGGTTTTCTGGGAGAGCAGCTTGGGCTCGGGGAGGAGGCGGTAGGGGGGCAGCCACCGCAGGCCTCTATTTCGGTGGTTTTATGATACAGAGATGAGGTTACTTCTGTGGACGCAAGCCATCCTAATGGTGTCATTTATCATTATGACAAAGGTTAGGCTGGAGGACCAGAGCTGGAATGAAAAGAGAGAATTCTGATGATTTGGGCCGTTGGGAGTGACATCACCCCAGAGCCGGTATCGACTAGCAAATCGGGAGCCGGGCTGAAATTGCTTTAAAATATATCCAGCGATAGTTTTCTCCAGCCGCGATCAAGGCCTTTGGATGGGTTGGGCGCTGTGTCTCTGTGTCACGTGATCACACGCTTGCCTGTGTGTCACTCAAACGGAAGGCTGCCCATCAGCTCTGAGAGGCCTTCTGCTGGGCCACACCTGGCATTGAACTGCATCCGTACTTGTTCCTTCAAAATGCACTGTGAATCCCTCTCTGTGTCTACGAGTAATGGAATTGTGTGGGGTTTTTTTTGTTTTATTTTTGTTTTGTCGATCATGGAGCTTGAACTCTGGGCCTGGGCGCTGTCCCTCAGCTCATCAGCTCAAGGCGAGTGCTCTACCACTTGAGCCACGGCGCTACTTCCAGTTTTCTGGTGGTTCTTTGGAGATCAGAGTCTCATGGACTTTCCTGCCCTGGCTGGCTTTGAACTGCGATCCTCAGTAGCTGGGATGACAGGTGTGAGCCACCAGCGCCTTGGAATTGTGTTTTGCCACAGTGTACAACATTTTAATGGTGACCATCTGGGCTTTTGTGGCAACACCTTTAGCCCCCATCAGTGAACGCGAAGGAATGGCTGCGTGGCTGGGGTGGTCAGGGTTCCCCCTGCCTGGCGGAGGGCTGTTTCGTTTATGTGTTCCATCTTGTATTCTGCGAGTCTGAAAGAATGACTAATGGGGAGTAAAACCTGAGCTAACGTCTCCCCTCTTCTTCTTAGGCAAAAGAAGGGCGGCGCGGCCCACCAACCCTGGGTTGGTCCCTCGAGTCTGGTCAAGTGCAAGCCCTGCCCCTCGGCGCAGTCAGCCATGGTCTGCGGCTCGGACGGCCACACCTACACCTCCAAGGTCAGTCTTCACGGTGCTCGTTGTTTCTGTCATTAGAAAGCCCCCAGGTTTGCTCATGTGTCAGTCTGAGCCCCTTGGTGGCTCAGGGCCCTGCCCTTGAACAGCTGGCAGGCAGATGTGCTCAGAGAGAGCTCTGCCGGAGAGGCACCCCAGGGAAAGCTGTGTATAACTGCCTGCGACCCGGAAGTAAACCCAGAGGGGCCCGGAGAAGTGAAGTGGAGGATGCCCGTCGCACAGCTGGGTCTAAGCGGGGAGGGGCTCGGGTCACCACCTTGTGAACAGTGCGTGTCGGGACTGAAGCTCTGCCACCGCTCACCTCATCCAGCTGCAGCAGAGCTGCTTGGCAGCTCTCCTGGGCTCCGTGTACGGCTCCGTGGCCAAGGAGCCAGTGGACAGCACGCTGTCAACGCCCTGCTTGCTCCCGGCCACCGTGCTGGGTGGCGCTGTGTGGGTCTCCATCCTTTCCTCTGCCCCCACCGCCCTCCCCCGCTGCAGGGGTGCTGACGGCGTCTCTCCTCTGTGAGCCCTTGTGGAGTCCGCAGGGAATGGCCAGCCCTGGGGAGCTCTCTGGCAGTCCAGCTCGGAGGTGAATTCTGGTGATTCTGGGGCCCTAGCCACTTTCCCCTAATGATCCTGTGATGCGCGCATCATATGCTTTTGGTCACTGAAAGTAGAGCTCATCGAGGGAGGAGATGGGCGGGAGGGGAAGGAAGAGAGCGAGGGAGCAGATGACACCATGTGAAGGACATGCACTTACTACCTGGCGTATGTAAAGGTAACCTGCTGTATGTTGCTTCTAAACAACAGTGACTTTCCTTGTGTTAGCGAGGCCCTGCAGTCTGATTCCTTGCTGTTCCAGAATTGCGTGTAGGACAGGTCTTCCTTCCCTCTGTCAGTAGCTGCCTACTGCCCACTGCCAGTTGGGCAGAAAACACGGGTGGGAGAAGACACGGGTGGGAATACATCCGCATGTATTCCACGCGGGGCGCATTCAGGACGGGTGCTCAGAAGTAGTACTGGGTCGAGCGCAGTCGGGGATTCTCACGTGCACAGCGCGCTGTGCGTTTGCTAGGGTGACAGAGACAGAGTTTAGTGACTGAAAAAATAAGCCATCCCAGTTCTGGCCCAAGATCCTTAGCTAAACACCCAGCCCGGGGCATTGGCAGAGTTAGCAGTTCCTTTTAATGCTTCTGTCTTCGTGAAGATCCGATTTGTACTGTTCAAATAATTGCCTTCAACTCCGGAATGAACAACCCGATACTCCAGCTGGAGACTGGAATCCAGCCATGAGCTATCAGCAGGGGATTAGGGTTCTGTGTTCAAGTGGTATGCAGTCATCAAGCCCTGGGCAAAACCTGCTCTGGCACTTCTTTTATTCACAGGTGGAACTAAAAATGCCAGGTCCCCATGGCCCTGCGCTTGCCGCCTGCCAGATGTGGTGGCTTGAAATACTGTCAGGTGCCTGGAGAACTTCTCTGGGAATAGTTGCTGGTCAGGGACCCCGGTCTGGGCTGTGACATTGCCTTTTGTATTCGTGAAGTCGCCTGCTTTCAGGTACCGGTAGAGAGCTGGCTTAGTAGGCAGGATTGGGATTTGGAGAAGCCCTTGCGATGATTCTTGGACTGATCTCGGTGTGGCGTTGGGCATAGTCTACAAAGGCCGGCAGCACCCGCCTGACTGAGTTCTGTTTCCCCACCTTAAAACTCCTCCCAGAACAAAAGGAGAGCCGCGACGGCGGCCTTGGCAGAAGCTGGCTTGTTCCTCCCGTTCTTCACCTGTGGTATGTAAGTCAGCTCTCCACTGCCGTAACAAAGCGCCGGACACAGTCAGCTGATGACAGGGAACCGCGTGGGCGTGGTCGCAGAGGTCTCAGTCCGCCGCCGTCTGGCTCTGCTGCTGTTGGCCTGTGATGGCAGAGTCTATTATGATGGAAGCGTGGGACTGAGGACGCTGCTCCCTGCACGGCAGCCGTCCAGCAGAGAGAGAAGCAGGGAGGCCTTACCTCCTCCCCCAGGGTCCCATCATGCAAAGGGTCCGGTACTGGCGAGTAGTGCCAAAGCCAGGGACCAAGCTACTACATACGGCACTCTGGCACCCCAAGAGACAAAGCCTGTGGCGGTTTGACACCCGTGGTCTTCTGCCTGGAACCCGTCACTCCCCCCACTTCTATTTGAGGTTAAAACACAGAAGCGCCGGGTGCTGGTGGCTCACCCCTGTCATCCCAGCTACTCAGGAGGCTGAGATCTGAAGGTCAGGTTCAAAGCCAGCCCGGGCAGGAAAGGCTGTGGGACTCTTACCTCCAAGGAACCATCAGAAAACTGGAAGTGGCGCTGTGGCTCAGGTGGTAGAGCGCTCGCTGAGCTGAAGAGCTGAGGGACAGCGCCCAGGCCCAGAGTTCAAACCCCCACGACTGACAAACAAAACAGCCCCCCCCCAAAAAAACACACACAGGGAAGAGGGATCACTGGAGAATAGTAGTGGATGCTCACTTAATATAATGAATGACTGATTTCCCAGCCCGTGGTGATTTGGTCTTTGTGGATCATTAGCGTCAGGAAAGGACAGAGGAGGCCAGGATGCACAGATAACCAAAGGTGATTTCATATTGCTGAGTCAAATTCATTAAAAAAAAATAGTTTGGGCAACAATGTGTTGTTTTCCAATCATGCCATCACCATGGAAACCTACACCCCATAATGACAAGTTCTAGCTGTGCGTGTATATTGATTGGCTCTGAAGCCCGTGCAGAGCCAGTTGGCGTGTCCGGAGGAAGGCAGTCTGAGTGTCAACCTTTAACACTGCTGTCTCTCCCTGGGTGACATCAGATACACTTTCCTTCTGTGTCTGGGCCCTGGAGAGCCGGAGGCTTCTAGAATTGAGGGCCGTTAGGACTCTCGTCTGAGGCAGGCTTCTTCAGTGATCCCACGCCAGGGAGCCACTCAGAGCTCTCCTCGCTCCCAGGATCAAAGAGAGCATCGGTAGGAATTCACAGTCTGAGACGCAGTGTATTCCAATTCCATGGAGCCGTGGAGCCACACTGCCGGGAATCAACACTGCAGGCCAGCCGCCCACTCAGCCCACTCAGAGGGGGAAGTAGACCCGGACCCCGGGCTCAGCTTCTGGGCAGCCAGCATCATTTTACCCTCGGCAGTCCTTAACTGCTTAGGCTATCACAGCAAGGAAAGCTCATGTAGTGCAGAAATCCAATTAATACTTATTGAGTCCTTTCTAATGGTGCGTCAATCACTGGGCTAAGTACTAGGGATATGGCTAAGGATGAAGCAGACAAAGTCCCAGTTTTCATGGAAATTACAAGGAAGATTGACAAATTGAGACGCGATCTACTAGCAGAAGAACAGGTGGTTTGGAAGATTATTGGGTTCCAGTGGCTGTGGTGGGTGGTAAGAAGTCAGCTTTCCTCCGAGGTAATTGGATCAGCAGGGCCCTTGGAAGAGATCAGCACCAGCGGTGTGGACTGAGTCTCTTAGCCAGCCTCGGCCAGGGCTCTGGATTCCTGTTTTACCACGAGATCTTGTCTCACACTCTCACCAAGATACCATCATCAGGATGCATGTGTAGCCCAGGAGGCCCTGCGAGCTGGATAAACTTCTTCATACAGTTCCCAACCTCAGAAAACAGATCAAGACAACGGTTGTTGAAAGTCCTCCGCCATCTCCCAGTTTGGAGGTGTCAGTGGTCTTCTTAGAGGAGGTGTGCTGGTCCCACTGAGATCTCAAGACTGGAAAGAATGAGCAAGAGACGGGTCAGGGGGCTCCTGTCTCCAGGAGGAGGGGCATGAAGAGGAACAGGAAGCAAGGTTGGGGGTGGGGGGGAGGTGGCGCACTAGAGCCCCAGTGTCAACATGGGTGTCACCTTCAGGGTGGAGATGGGGGTTGACTTACTGTAGGAATGAGTCTAGAGAAACAGGTATGGGTCGTGGCTAGTAGGGGTTGAAGAGCACGTGAGCAGGGCTGGACTTTGCCTGGAATGACCTGGCCATTGGTGGATGAGCAGATGGGTAGGCGGTGGGTTGATGTTCAGTTTTACATCTGCCTGCAGTTGTATAAGAAGGAAAGAAAGTCTGGGCAGGACTGGAAGGCAAGGTGAACTGTGCGGATCCCCAAAGCGCACTCCTCAGGGGCTGCTCCAGCCCGGCCTGGGCACCAGCTAAAGCGGTGTAGAGGTGGCAGCTGGTCTTGGCAACTGGATTTCAGACAGTGAAAGTCACTTTGGGCCCAAGCCCAGCCGTCCGAAGGATTTCATCTTCGTCTTGGCTGGACTTGTAGGCCTTCCTGCCAACAGCTTTGCGGCTTCACCTGGTACATCTGGGAGCTGAGAAACCCTTTCCCTTTTGTTACCTGCAGAGAAAGATGGAATGTTCCAGGGAAAAGCAGCTCGAACACTGCTGACTAGAACCAGTCACAAGCACGTGGGCCTGGGGAACGCAGGAGGGCGCAGGGCAGGTCCCCGCTGGCCTATCCTGACTCTTAGAGGGATTTTGTGATCAGGAAAGGATGGCTTCACTGATGCCTGGACCGGGGCTCTGATGTCTGGGGTGCATTGCTCTCTTCCCAGCCTGCAGCCCAGGGCCCAGGCTGGCCTGTAGGGACCAGGCTCTGCGGGGCCTCCAGGTATCCCAAGAGCCAGCTCTGGTCTCTGGCCCCAGCTCAGCTGCTGGTAATTGGCAAGCAAGCTCACAAACACCCATCTGCTTTTTCTGCCTCTCCCCTTCACACTTAACTTTCTTAATCGCTGTTAAACAATTAGCAAATGGCTCATTTATGTCTAGACAAAGAAGAGGGATGGGGAGCTGAGCGCGCTGCAGAGGAAAACATTTCTCTTCCCTTCTGAAAGTGAGCCGTGGTGGGGGCAGTGGCCGGGCGTGCCCGCCTCCCCGGCTGGCATTTCTTGCAGTGTATTGTCACTATTATCTCCTCGGTGCATCTTAATGGTCTCCAACAATTTCGACCAAGTAAAGGTCATGTCTGAAAAGTTGTTGG